TAGAGTAATGAAGGTATAACACTAAAATATAGGTTTTTTTCCCAAAGAGCACGTTTTCATAAGTACAAAATCAATGCCTGCAGAGTAGTACGGATAAGAAAATAGTACGCGTCTGTGCTCTCGTTCTATTCTTGCCAATTGTGGCGATATGTTCAGGAGTTAAATCTCAAATGTCGAGATCTGATGGCCACAACGAGAGGGTTTAAGGAGAGAGTTCGTTTGGTTTTACCACTCCACCTCCGTTGAAGGAGCGTAGACTGTGCGGTCCATAGTTTTGTTTGCATGGACACAGTGGCACTACTGCGCCTTTGGCCTTCAACGCTCCATTTACGAAGGAAATGTGCGCATTGGACCTGTTGATGTTCTCATGTGCTCGTGGAGAAAGGACAAAGTACATTCGTCTTTTTACATTGCTGAAATGTCCCGGCAGTTTAAGTAACTTTAAGTATTTTATTATGATTTTTTTTTTTTGGGGGGGGGGTGGGGGTGGATGTGGAGGGGTGGATGGTGGGGTCGAGGACAAGTTGAGTTAGCAGTCGCCATGGCTGGGACTCAAACTCGGGTCACAAGGCCCCTCGCGCAGCACTTCACAACCTCCCCCACTTGCACTCCGCGTCTATCCAACCCTGTGGAGTTACGCACGTGAGCAAGCGACATTATAAATCACGTTTCCCTTGTTATCATCGCAAGGTACGCGCGTGAGTCATGCCCAACGAGTCCCGTGCATTTAAATGCGGCGAAGCGACCTGTGCGGGTGGCTCTTCTTCACAGTCTACGGGACTGCTGCCACCTATTGACAATCATTGCAACTTTCCATATGCACCAATCCCGCACGACCCCCGCCCCCCTACCTACCCCGCTGAGCAATCTCACATGGGAAGGTACAAACGTGGCAGGGGCCTCCCCTGCCACCTGCCGCCTGGATGATAACGCCCCTAATGAACGCGAGGCTTGCTAGGCAATCGCTCGCCCCTATGCGTGTGTGTCCGTGGGGTAGAGAGAGACAGAGGGGGCAGCGGCGGTGTAAGCGGTGACGATTTTCTGAATCGGCCCTGAGACCCTCCCCTAGGTCGACTCAGCATCAAATGAGTACCTGGTGGGATGTGTAAAAAAAAAAACATTGCCGCTAGAGAGACAAAGGCGGCCGGGCGTGGTGCTGGCCACCCACCCACTCCGTGCTTGCCCCAACATTTGTTGAGGCTCTCTCTCTCTGTGTCTTTTTTTGAGGCACCGAGAAAGACGGGAGGAGAGTGAACGAACGAACGAACGGCAGCATTCCCCATTAGCGACGAGGTGGCTCTCTGTGTCTCCAGCCTCGCACCTCCCGGGTTTATTCTTAAATGCATCGGCGCGTGGCTGAACCGTGCCGCGCACAGGAATGCTAATGTAGTTGTTGCGCTCCGAGCAGTCGTTGTGCGGGGTTTTTTTTGACGTTACCTGACTGGAAATTTGCCCAAAGAGATGTAAACAGCGCAGGGTGTATAGCAAGGGGCGGAGGTGGATATGCATTGTCAGTTTGAGCCAAGCTATATGCGTGGGGGGAGGGGGGTATAAGTGTGCGTCGTGTGGGGTTGAGGTAAGTGAAGAAGGTTGCAGCAGTGCTTAATGGCATTTGCCAGCTTCCCTTTGCTGCCCGGGCCTCTCCTGGCCATATGGCGACGAAGGCTGCTGTAGAGCAGTGGGTCTGGCGTGGCACGGTGGTGGAATAACGAGGAGAGGAGGAGGAGGTGGAGGGCAACATCCGAGCAAACCTTCACTCGTAACACCCCGCGACTCATTTCCTTGCATCGTTTCGTACGTGATCGTTGCCCAAGTGTAGACCATCTGGATTCAAACGCGAGGCCTCTTTGTTGTTGTTGTTGTTGTTGTTTTGGCATAGCTCAACACCGAGCCCAGTACATAGCACAAATTGGATCGAACACAAGGGTAGGAGGGGTAGGGTGGGTGTCTATAATACACGGACCACGTCCTAGGACTTCGTGTTCTCGTAGTTAGAGAAGGGGGGAAGAAGTGGGCTTCATTGCCCCACATGGATCGTTTTTTTATATATACCGTATATGGGGAGTAAAAGACGTGGAGAAGAAGAGGAACTCACAACGTGAAAGGGGTGAAGGGGATGTGAAGGATGGAATGAATGGGGGGAGGGAGGAGAACGTTTAACAAACTGCAAAACAAATTAACTTACATGCCCCGAGTGATCTTATCACCGGCGAGAGTCAAACGGGAGTCCTCTAATTCTGCCTACGGGCATATTTTTCGATCCGTGCCATTCACAGGCGGATGGCGATGTTGGCGTGCTGTGGCGCATTGCACGCTGCGATGTCAACCTCGAGATCAACCTCGAGGTCACCGGTTAGATCTCTTGGCACGACAGTTGCGACAAATGTGCACGTTTCTTAATCTCCGCATTTGTCCATCTAGCAGTATAAACGGATACAGCCACGGTTGATCGGCAGGTCGTGTGAGGTTGGGCAAAGTGTGGGTACTCTTTCAGCACGGTTGGCTACGTACGGTGCGAAAGAAGTTCAACATTAATACAATATCTCTGGGAAGAGAAGGCCAAATACCCACTAGAGTGCCCTCTTGTGGAGGCCACTCCACTAGCAAATGCAGAGTGTCACCTTTACTTTTGAATGCATCTTGATTAGGTTGGACACAATGGCATCGTGGCCACATTTAAAAAAATGACTCAACAAATATGTTGAACTTCTTTCGCACCTCTCCTAGCTAACCGTGCTAATTGGAGGTTCGGGAAAAAAAGTTTAAACAATAATAAGGTAATACTGATAACATCCCATGCTTTCTTTAGGTCTGAAAAGTCCCCCTTGCTTATTTCTAAGATTTTATCTTAATAGTTAAAGATTGTTTTTTTACAAAGAAAAAAAAGCCAACGTGGTTTTTCTGTTAAACGTCGTGCAGATGGTGCTCACTTCTTGATTACAGCCCTGAGCCAGTGAAGGAAACTTCACAATGCCATGACAGATGTAATCATTTTCATTGGTGACTTCTCACTAGGTGGTACTTATTTTATAAACCTCAGAGCAGGGAGCTTATTTGGCCTCAAAAACAGGATTATATTGTGAGCTGTTTTAGCAACATTTAAACACTGCATTTAATTTGGGCTATCAAGCTAGGATTTACATTGGGAGACAAGGAGGAATGCACACGTGGATTAGAGAACATGTCCATGTTAATGACCGTCATTCAAAGTGTTAATACAAAATAGTGAGCTTGTGCAGGATACATTGTTAGAAGGCATGATCAATCAATCAATATTCAATTCTGATAGTTGCGTGTATCAAAGTGCTTTTGCACCAAAAATGAAGTCAACATAAATACATATAATACGTTGAAGACATATCAGCCGTCCAAACACAGATTACAACTCAGGAAAACCCACGGAAAGACGGTGCGTCTTTGCGTGCAGATTGAAACATCTTCACGCTCTCGCTCCCTGACGCGATGATGTAGAGAGTTCCACAGGGTAGAAGACGCCAATGCACAGGCACGGACACCAAAAGGCCTCAAATGAGTCCCAGGAGCCTCGAGCAATCCCTTGCCAGCTGATTGTCAATATTAACGGTGGAATTTGGAGCCAAGGGATGCAACGTGTCCAAGGGGACATCCACATGTGCTCGGTGAATTACCATGCCGCAGGATCGTGACAGATGGTGGCGCATATGGGAGGTCTTCATCCAGCAGTGGGTTGACCATGGCTGATGATGATCCAACTCGTAAACGCTCATTTTACCTTGCAGCCCATGGTATACTAGGCTATTTAACATTCATTGCACAACATCAGGCAAGCCTTGTTTTTTTTTGTTCCTGACAGGATCACCTGCATATACCGTATTGAACTGTGGGTTATATGCAAATGAACGGCTATTAAGTCACTCAAAATATAAGAAACATGCCATAATCTCTGCTGACAGCATTGACGAATGCAAGGCTCCCTGACCTCACAGACAGCCGCTGTATCTCATGCAAAGTGAGTCACTAATTAATGGGAACTTGTTTGAAAATGTACATAAATACGTAAACGCTCATTTATTTTTTACAGCAAAGAATGTAAACATCACTGCAGGTGGATCAATTATAATTACATTCATCTGAAACTGTAATTTTTTGTCCTCAATTTATAATCATTTCCCTTCTGTCATATACATTTTTACGTCATAATGATGAATGGATATTAAAGCGTGTATTTTTGTGTTTTTCTTTTTTGTGTTATGGGTTCAGCTGTCTCCAGAATCTCTCACCTTTCCTCTTTGCCAGCGTTTCAGCATCGTGATGACGTGCAGGGCAACCTGGACGGGTTGTGTATGTCTAAATATATATATATTTGTTTTTATAGATAATTGAAAAGCAAAAGACACAATCGGTTAAAGAGAGTGGCAATGTAAACAAATAATGTGTTTCTTTTTTATTTAAATACTTTATTGACATGTTAGCCTCATAAATGTTTGTATACCATTCGCATAGATGCATATTTCTTGGAATTACTCGTATTAAAAACTCAAACCACTGTATGATGCTACATTGCCTTGTTGTAATAACAAAGCTTTTGTTTCTGATCCGGTATCATCTGATTTCCATCACCTTTCTAGTTCTGATGTAAGAATGAATGTTGTTCCAGTAGTATAACACACCACAACAAGTTAAGGCTTCATGGTCATTTTTACAGGGATGCTTATGCAAGTATATTCGGATTATTTGTACGCGGATTATATATTGACAACAATTGACTGCTCTATGAAAGTGAACCGGAGCTTCCATTTAACCTGTGCTGGTTATGCCACCTGATGCGGCCAATTAACATCGCCGTCATTGCAAGCGGTTGGCTCCTTAAGCACTGCCGCAATAGGTACGTCGGTCGTCCCAGAGGCGGGAGGTTGGTCTGGAATGAAAAATCCAATCGAACGGGTTACCGTTCACAATGGTTTAATTAGCCCGGTAAGTGCTACGATTTGTGCGTCGCATCATCCTAATTGGTCTGGCAGGTGGAGTGTGCATCGCCCAGTCGATGAAGATAGCACGAGACTCCAAGCCGCGGGACTTTGACAAGACCATTCGCCGTCTGCTGGAAACATCAGCTGCTCGTGCCGTCGTTATTTTCGCCAACGAGGAGGACGTGAGGTAAGTGCGGCTCCACGATTAGTATTATTATTACTACTACTACGTTCGATGAACCACGAAAGCCTCACTAAGATAATCACAACACATTTTTTTGTTCATGAGGGTCCTACTCAAATTTTCGCTGCACGGGGCAGATATTACTCCTATATGTGTAATGCCAATTGAGTCATTTCCAGGTAATATTTCACAAATGTGGATGTTTGTCCAAGACCGGTTATGATCTGAGGCGAAACTGCAGAAGGATAAAGGAAAGCCATGCAGAACAGGGGGAGAACATATACATAACACAGCAGTTAGCACACTGCACTGTGAGCCTGGCCAACCGAGTTTGATTCCTGGCCATGGGTAAGATGAGCAGATGGTGATATCTCAACCCTTAAGCGGTCCCTCACCTTCGCCAACATGAACTGACCAATATGGCCAAGTTTTATCAAACATCTCCCTTGACTGACACGGTGTATTAAAGGCATTCATCTAGCAGTGGATTGTCAAAATGGTGTCAATTATTTCATGTCGTCTTATGTATGTATGCGTGCATATATGTATGTTTGCATGGACAGAAATGAGTGTGTACATACTCTTTGGTTCTATTCGGTAAAGTCACGTAGGTAAAAAATAAAACAACAAAAAATCACGACGTTTCGGCCACAACACAAGCGGCTGAAACGTCGTGATTTTTTGTTTTATTTTTTTACCTACGTGACTTTACCGAATAGAACCAAAGAGTATGTATCCTTGCAGTCACGAAAGCTTTAAATCTAGAATTGAGTGTGTACATATGTGGTAGTGCAGCGGTTAGTGCTATGATTCCGGTGAGTTCTAGCCCTGCTCATGGCAAACACCAGTCACGATATCTGAACCGGTTCTGGGCCTCCCCTAAGTCGACTCAGCCTCATATGAGTACCTGGTGTGGTATGTAAACATCGCAACTTTGGAGACAAGTGGCCTCGCGTGCTGCTGGCCTAACAACTTACTCGTTACCCTTAATAGGTTATCACAAAGAGAACTTGCCCCAACAATCAAAAAGGCAATATAGGGTGATCTTTGTATTCACGTGCATTTTTGTCTGTATGTATGTAGTTGGTCTCATACAGCCTTTAAGTAGTTGCAGGGGATATTTGTCTTCGTAGGCAAGTATGTGTGTACGTAGATATACGCGCATTATCTTAAACCGTGCTAATTGTGGGTGTCCGATGAGTGTCAGACACACGAAAACATCACACAAATGCTGACACAATGGTGTAGGGAGGTGCATACTGCAGGCTGATGAGTCAAAACAAACGTATCTCAAAGACAACGACAGGGAAAGGTCCCTTTAAATGTGCACTCATTTTCACCAAACGCTGCGGCAGATCGACCACTTGAGTTTGCACTGGGACATACAATGCCATTGCACACTCTTGGCACTCGCATGCCGGCAAGACGGGTCACGGGGCCACCATTGCCCACACCCGTTTCATTCTTGAGGCCGGAATTTTTATTAGCTTCTAATTGGTGCCATAATTGGCACATAAGCAACGTCTCATTGACTGCTCGACTCAGAGAGCCCCCCCCCCCCCGTCCTGGGATGGGATGACCGAAAATGTGTTTCTGATTGGCAGCCTCTTTGGCAGAGTGTGATGGGATGAGATGAATGGTGTGGGGATGGCCTACCATCAAAGGCTTACTCGCAAATTCGCTTTGTGTGTTCAACTTGCATTGGACCGCGTGGTTTTTAGTGCCACATCGTGTTTATCTCGTGTCACTTGGCACTGATTGGCGGCCTCTTTGGCAGAGTGTGATGGGATGAGATGAATGGTGTGGGGATGGCTTACCATCAAAGGCTTACTCGCAAATTCGCTTTGTGTGTTCAACTTGCATTGGACCGCGTGGTTTTTAGTGCCACATCGTGTTTATTCGTGTCACTTGGCACTGATATGCTTCTGCGTTTTAATTGGGAGGAGCGTTACAATCTCAGGCATTCAACACAGGGCCTTGTTCGACGAGAAGTGCTGAAATGTTGTCGCGTCCCAATTCTTTTTTTAACATATTTGTGAGTAAAGCATACTTGTCAACCCCTTATCAGTGCCTATCTTGTTACAGACCAATTCAGACCTTATACATCTCAACGTTCATCCTACAAAGTTCCATCACAAGGGAGAAACACATAAAGACGAACCACTTTTTTTTGTCCGTATTGAAACGGCTGTACGCCGTATGGATCTGAAAACTTAATTTCCCTATACAAGAATACGGGGTAAACCGTATGGGTTACCAGGTATGGTAAAGTGGCTGTTTAATATTCACGTTTTGTTAAACCATGTCGCACATGGTGCACCCATTATGCTGCCTATTAATTTCCTAATGACATTGGCATAGTTTTTTTGTGTGTTTACCTCTTTTGCTGAGTTGAGAGGATGGTAAATAAACTGAAATACATTTTCTCACCTCCTCCCCAGTCTCTCTGCATGTGTAGTTTTACATGTTAATCAGGTTCACTACACTCAAAACCGATTAGTTCTACATCTACATGCACAGTGGTTCAGTCATTTTGAAATTGAGATGAAAACAAATATTTGTTCATGTGGTGTTTACGTACGTTTTAAATTGCTACATTTCCCAAACCTTATCACTTGTTTGTGCTGAATGCCATTATGTGAAGCGAGAAATATTACACTTCTTATGGCTATACTCTTTGGTTCTTTCGGTTAAGTCACGTAGATATAAAATGAAATAAATCATGATGACGGACGCTTGTGTTGCACCACGAAACTTCGTGATTTATTTTATATCTATGTGACTTTACCGAAAGAACCAAAGAGTATGGATTCCTGCAGTCACGAAAGCTTCAAATCATTCTTACGGCTAGTATTCAATTCCGGTGTGTATTAAGTCAACACTTGCCGTATAGGTTTGTCGCAGTCGTCCTGCTGCTGTGGTAGTGCTCCGTTGCAAACTTTCGGCTCGTTCCGCGGATTGCAGTTCCACGTGATGTCTGATAGTTTGCTCCACGTCCTTGGAGTACTGCACAACCTGAAAACACATCGGAGAGCTTCGAAGGAGTACTAAGTTCACACGTGATGTAGACACTGCACTTGTATCCGATGCCAAAGAGGCACGTGTTCAGTGGGGAGCTAAACATAGAACATTCTCCATAGCCAAGACCATTGCCACAAATCACAAACACCACCAGTTATCAGCAAAACTGCCTTTGCGAATCATCGCTTCAAACTACTCTGAACAACCGGAAACGATTTGTGTGGAAGCAGTGCTGTTGAAATGATGCACTCCCAGAAGGTTTTGTGGTTGATGGAGAAATGTAATATATATTTGTTTACGTAAGTGGACACATGAAGGAGATATGTTGTCTGCTTGTTTATCAGCAGTGTCATCACTATTGCCAGTGCTGTGGCATCAAACATCAAGACGTAATATAAAGTCCACATTTGTTCATACTTTGTACACCGACGCACTCTGATCTGGCACAATTGATTAAACGCGTTGGCAGGTAGGGAGCTACGTTATTATGTTTTAACAGTGCACATGCTAGCATTGTATCTGAAGAATTAGTCACGGTGATAGGGATTGTGCTCCAACTAATAATCCTCGGTGCACCGACTTCACTTGGTCAGATAATTGGTGACACCAAGCTGCAGAAGCTTAAAATGTTTTTTTTCACCTTTCTGTACCCATAAAATGTAAACACAAACGTGTTGAGTGTTTCACTTGTTGCCGTAGTCCTATGGTCTACAGATGATATCAAGCGTCTAGCTCTTGATAGGACGAGGTTAACCCGAGTGACCTCTAAAATTATGTCTTGATCACTGCTTATTTTCGTAATATTATTTGTTTTTTTTGGGAATGGCTACAGTACCATAAATCAAAGTGGAGTTTTAATCTTTGCAAGAGGAAATCCTGTGCAGCACTTTTTTTCAACAGCCAAACACAAGGTCTGTGAATTTATATCACGATAACTTTTTTTGTAAGGATGGGGGTGAGAGGGGGCAGGTGGTGGAAATACAATATCGCACGGATGGATTTGACAAAGGTTATTGAAACACGTTAGCTTCGGATGCTGCTATGATGGCTTTTGTAATTGCAAGGTTCTCATTTTGTTTCTCCCACCACCACCCACCACCTCTTACTGCCATATACAAGGATTACAGGAGCAGCTGCTAACACGTCTCGGTTTAGACTCCCTCTCGTTACACGGCGTAAGCACGTCCGTGAGCAAATCCATAAGGTAATCTCCTGTCTCTTAGAGCCACAATTGAAAAAATGTTCTGTGCCACTCTCGGTGCCTTCGTGTGTGCTGCCGGTAAATGAATATAGATAGCATTATATCCTTTTCGGCGAACGTGATTTGTGCCGCTTCTCAAATTTGGTAATGGCAAAATACCGCAGCAAAAGTGAGGGAATGCGTGTTCATTGATTTATCTTATCACGCGGCGTATTGACGGTCAACGGCAACCGGCTGCAGGCAGGAATGGAATGATATATCAATGCCCGCGGCGGCTCAGAGACCGGCACAAAGGTGCACACAAAAGTGGTAATGAAGGCAATATGTCTGGGCGCAACGAAACGTCAGCAGTTGATGGCGGCATGCCACGGTGATGGGATATCGTATAGCAGTTGCGTGCTCGTGTGCGTGCGTGGATTGGTGGCAAGATGGTTCGTTACACCGTGAGCTCGGTTCGATTCCTGACCGTGGATGATATCGGTGACAAGCGGTGTCTGAACCTGTCCTGGACCGTGCCTGGGTGCACGCGCCCTCAAATGAGGACATGGTATGGTGTAGAAACATCGGGACTAGAGAATGAAAACATCCTCCCCACACCACTATCTCACGTGCCATTCCTGCTTGAATAGGTACTTACTAACAGCTGCAACTGTCTGTGGGGCTAAAAGGAAGTAACTATTTATTTGTGTACGTCTGCAATTTGGTACGTGTTTCCAGATATCGTTAAGGTGCCTATGTTATGCTTTTGCCGTCAGCTTGCATTTATTGTCTTATGTCAAATGTTAATTAACTTTTGTGTATGAACCCTTGTACAAATGGTATGTTTATTTGTATGAACGTCCACGTCATATTCAGACACGATGTATTTGTGTACAATTTAGATTCACAGCCATTTGTCAATGCACTGCTGGATGTAGGCCATCCCGTGCCTTGTTGGTCATGATAATGTTTCGACCATACTTCACTCCTCTGGTCAGTGCAGATTGGTGAAGGGGGTTTGCCCAAACACAATTCAATTATAATGTGCCGCTGATGTTAGCCGTGGCCTGGAAAATAACTCTGGTAGTTGGGTCAATCTTGCGGTATGTGATATAGTGCTCCACCACTCCACCCCCATATGTGTGTGTGTGTCATAGCTTCAGATAAATATTGAAATACGTCAGAATATTGCTTTTATTAGTTAAAGATATTGAATATGAGCAGATTAAAATAAATGCATATACACATCGAGCTAGACAGACCTGTAAAAATACAATGAAATGCAATAGCAAGGCCACAATTATTGAAGTAACACGTTAAATGTCCAGTAAATCATTTGCACTGTTCGTCCAAAACCATTGATGATAATACTGCATTCCTATGTTGGTTATCTATATGTAGTTAGAAATATATAAAATCCTTCTCAACTTAACTTTTCACTCTCGGCCGCTTTGAAATGTCTCCTTTCAAAACATCCCTTACTCTTGACTTAAAGCTTTCGTGACTGCAGGGATTCATATTCTTTGGGTCTTTAAGACAGCCATGCCAACCGCAGCTGCCTTGTTTTGCCACTGCCTCAAAGTGGAGCTTAATTAAACGTCCCCCACCTCCTCCATCCCCATCTCTCCCTCCCTCTCTTCCTACTCTTTCCCTTCCTGTCCCTGCTGAACGGCCGGATGGGCAGACGCGTCCTGGAAGCAGCGCACAGGGCAAACCAAACGGAGCACTTCCTGTGGCTGGGCTCGGACAGCTGGGGAGTCAAGTTGGGCCCTGCACTGAACCAGCAGGAAGTGGCAGACGGTGCCATCACCATCTACCCGCAAAGCGAGACTGTCCCAGGCAAGCAGCTCGGTTTTGTTTTTGTTGTTGTTGCTGTTGTTATGCCTTGATTCAAATGTCCAGGTCAAAAGCGTCTCCCCGTTTCAAAATGAACAACGTAGAGGCACTCATATCTGCTATACAGCCTCGATCCAAGCAAGGGGGTGGGTTGGGGGCTGTAATTCCACATTGGTATGGCGGGAGCCAGTCTTAAGCAATGGACGGCAATCCTTGACTTCATGCAAAATGGCACTCGCTTTAAAGAGACACGGGATTTGAACTAACAAACTTTTGATAGTGAGTTGAATGATATAACTGCAATACCACCTGGCCAGCCCTTGGTCTCTATAGATTAAAAAAAATCCCCAAATTATTAAATCAGCGATGTGTCAGGAGACAAAGGAATGTCCTTGTGAAGCTCCTTCAATCTGCAGAGCTTTGTGTCGGTGTACTGCCAGCAGAAATTTATACCACAGAGCTACTTTGAAATTTACTTAAAAGGGCCTCTCGTGCCCAACATTATTTGACCTTCCTGTTCTGTGAAGTGTTTTGCTATTTGTCAGTCATTTGCGATATAATTCAGCCCTCAGAGCTGGCATATGCTTGATTGGGGAAAAACAAATGTTCAGGATTCTGAGACGGCCGGGTGGCTGAGAGGTCATTAACACTGAGCCAGTGCTGCCGGGAGGCTACGTTCGAATCTGGGTAGCCACCGGTGATTAATCCGGATTCTCAAGTGTGTGCGTTGATGGTCTCGGCCTGGTCATCAATAATTGCACAAACAAAAAACGCATAATATTAAATTATCAATTGTGTTTACTCTATTTAGAACCATTATGAGTGTGAGTTAAAAAAAAACACGTGATTGCCATTCAATGAACACAAATTGTCTCAGAACTTTTGGAGAATGGCAGCACCCAGAGTATGGCGAGAGGTGCCTTTAATGGACATCAGAAGTCGTTCCATGATACCTACTTCTGTGTGCCATTCTCTAATAGGGGCTGATGCGTTCGGGATGGTTACTTATGACACATTTCTGGTTGCGCAATTGGAATAACATCGTGTGAAAAAAATTATCACGAACAATGTCCCAAAAATGTGAGATTAAAGTAGTAAAAGGGATCGTTGATGCCACTACATCCGTGCAATAATATAATTGGTGACTAAGCTGAAGCCATCAGTTCACTGTGATTGAACACGTGATTTCATCACAGGCGACCATTCGGATTCAAACCCAGCGTTTCATCGGCGCTGGCTCAGTGCTCTGACACTGGCATTATGAGCGTCCTGAGTCATCCGACTGCCTCCAGGCTACGAGCTTTTGACATCTCCTATCCTGAGCTATTTTGGGGCATCTTGATAGTTTCAGGGTTATTGTGCTTTGCCACTGAGCCAATTTAGTTTGCAATGAGACCGCAGCAGGATTCCTATAGCTGCCAGTTATTTTCTGCGGGAATTTGCCGAAATACCATACCATCTACTGTAAAGGGAAAGTTGGGTACCCTGGTGATGTTTAGTAATCGATAAGTGCCATGCCCTGGTGTGCCAAAATAATGTCAGTACTTGACTCTCTGTGTAAAGATGCAAAAGTGAAATGCCACTGTGTAACCATGGCCCTGAGTCTGTGGTAGAAATTCAATGTTCCAAAGGTGGTGGCCAGATTATCCATATGTAGTGAGTCATTTCAGAGCCACTATTTAGGAGGCAACAACGTTTATTCTACAATTATGTAACACCGTTACACACGGGACTAAATACACCTACCTCTCACGCTTGTTACACACGGGACCACAATACACCTATCCATCTCGTATGCAGGATAACTATAATCGATGTCGAAGACGTAGACGTAGCACTTTGGTTCCACTTCACCTGCAGACAGCCCCGATATACGATCGGAGCTCCCCTTTTATCCTTCTCGGCGCGGCCTGGCTCCACCCTCGGCTGCGCCTACCTCTGGAATATTCCCGATGGTTCCAGGCTACACCGCACCTGTTCCCTCTCTCTCTGGCTCCGCCCTTAACCACGCCCCCTTCGTGAACTCTGCAGACGTTTCTCAGCGACTCTTCCCGTGTCCCCTCGTTCACCCGTGGCCCACTTTCCTTACCCCGGCCCACCACGTGCTTAGCCCGGTGCCGGGGTGACTCGTCCTCACATGGCCCCTACCGCCAGCCGCCCCCACCACACTCCCCCAGTGGCAGACTCTGGCGATTACCTGCGGCGCTGGTGGAGGCTGCTACCCCCTACTCTATTGGTAGAACACATCTGGCTTCCTTCTGCTAGCACCCAGTACCATGCCCCTAGTGGCCCACTGAATGGTACTTCACGGTGTGTTAGCCTTAGTGAACCATTTAACATCACTACACATACAAGAATAAAAAACCACTACGCTTGTTTAAAAAAAATACTTCATAAAAATCCAATGTTGAACGAATTAATTAAAAAGTTGAATATATTTTTGCTAATCCGTGTAATTCTTTCTCAAAATAAAATCACGGATCACAATGATCTCTCACCTGGATAAAGGTCACTGAATTTATATCGAGAGCTACTTTTAAACTTATAATACATTCAGGTTGAAAAATAAATAAAGAAAAGCCCAAGCAATCCATCCATAAAATGAGACACAAGCAATGCTGTCTATATACTAGAACAACAACAACAACATGAAATACACATTGTGTGCACCGAATGTATAAACAGCATGCAGATTCACAAATCAAAGTCACGGCTGGTGTCGAGCATCTTGAGACTCATGGATCATTGGCCTCTTAGCAGAGACACGCGCAGCGGTCGTTCACTATTCAAGAACGTCCTCTGCCGCGTGTGAGCTCGCGGGTGACCAATGGGGGCCGTGTTGGCAGCCGGGCAGCCTCAGAAAGGCAAGGTCAGGGCGAGTGGTTTATTTCATCGCTCCGCTTTTGTCCTGGACACGAGGTGAGAGGGTTATGGTTTCTGGGGGGGGGGGGGGGGGGGGGGGGGTGTTCTGATCGGACTGCAAAGTATGATCACAGCCTCCATCAACCCCGCTGGTTTCACATTGTATAACAATGCCCGCTTTTCCGTGACGGCTTGTCAGCGCGCCGCACAAACACCAATAACCCCCCAAGGACGGCAACGAGAGGTTAGGAAACTGCACCAAAGCGTCCCGTGCCGAAACTGGTATGCTTATACAATGAGGATTGCAGCAGCGGGATATTTTTTTTGCCAGGTGTATTTACCGCGTTGCCGCATATGTATTATGCATTTGCGTGTACATGCCGGAGCGTGTTCCTGGGGAGTGTGTTCCTGGGGAGCGGTAGTGTAGCGGTTAGCGCGCTGCGCTATGAACCTGGTGACCCGGGTTCGATATCCCGTTCACGGCCAACACCGGTGACGATTATCTCAACCGGTCCTGGGCCTCCCCTAGGTCGACTCAGCTGCAAATGAGTACCTGGTGCGGTGTGTAAACATTGTCACTAGGGAGACAAAGGCGGCCGGGCGTGGTGTTGGCCATCCACCCCCTCGTATGCCGTGCCGGCCTTCATAGGTGCTCGCTAACAGCACTTGCCCCAAAAGTATGTTAAGGTTATACGGGGGACCTTTGTCTTTGTCCTGCATTTAGTAGCGTAGCGGCTAGTGCGCTACGCACCGTGGCGACCCGAGTTCGATATATAATTGTTATCTCTACCGGTCATAGGCCTCCCCTAAGTCGACTCAGCCTCAAATCAGTTGAAAAATAATGTTGTCCACCCTCTCTTGTGCCGTGCCACCCTTCAAAGGTGCTTGCTAACACCACTTGCCCCGGGAGTTTGTTAAAGGCTATTTGGGTGATCTCTTTCTTTGTATCTAAATATTACATGAGTGGCAACACTGAACTGCCATTGTGTTGATATCATGTAGAAATAATGCGCCGCACTTTGACACATGGCGCATCACAGGTGTCAACAATCTAAGCCCCCAAAGTAAATTTCCAACTTGGAGGCACTTTGCAATGTGTGAGCCCAGTCGATTTGACTAATGCCATTATCATCACGTGGTACATTTGTGCCAATTCTCGCAGACAACGTGGCACTTTGAAGTGTATCTTCATATGAGCCATTCCTGGGCTCTCTCCACCCTCACCAATCTACACTGTCCAGTCCGGTCAACTATGATTAAACAACCCCCCTCAACTGACACAGTATTGGGGGATTGATTATTACTATTATCTGAAACCAATTTTTATTTATATTATCGGGTGTGAACCTACTTAGGTTGTATATACACTTTTTTTTCCTCAAAAGGATGTATATATTGACCGTTCAAGAAAAGCAAATTGAAGAGAGAAAAAAAAGACCGTCCCTGCAAAAAATGATAAACTACACAAAAACAAAACCAAAAAGTTTAGGTGGTTCCACATCCCCGGGTTATACCCTTTGCATGCCTGACTTCCTGGGCGGCTTACAATTGGCGTTCCTTAACGCAGTGCGATTGGTTTGTGCGAGCACTCGCTTGAGTAAGTGGAGCTTCCGCTGAGAAAATGCCAGGGAGCTTTTTATTGACTGACATTTGTCACTTCGTGGTTCACCGCTTTGCGTGTGCCCTTGCAGCTGGACTTGCCCTTCGTTCCTTCACAAAAAACAACAAACAGCGGGTGCAGCTGCAGGACAGAATTCTTCACTGAATCTATAACGCGGTTTTTTTTTTTTGCCCAGTTGGTTCTGTATAATAATAATACTAATAACAATAATGTAGCACCACTAAAGTGTTATGCAATTGGTGTGGTATCCCAAGGACCCTGATTTTCAGAAGAATGGTGGCTTGTATTTGCTGGTGGTCACTCATCTTTTGAAAATATAATTCGGCAAAGACAGCTTATTACTTGCAACACCCGTAATACTTGTAATGCAGAACAGATGGATTGGTACTTTTCATCCTGTGTTCATGCTACCTTTGACGCTTAAACAAAAAAAAGTCCATATGATTTCCATCTCCAATGAGCACTAAGGCAGCGCTTAACTCCTGTTTACAGCCCTGAGTCATTGATGAAAGTTCCACATTCCTATGCTAAGGGCAAATCTCTCCGTAGAGTAGCCACTCAGAGCTTCCCCACAAAGTGGTGCTCATTTTATTAATCCCAGAGAGGTGATGGGCCGAGTCAAACCCTCAACGAGGATTCAAACTCATAACCTACTGCTTAAGAGCCGCTTGCTCTACGACTGAGCCACCTGGCAGGCTTCGTGTTCTCTGCAGTTTGGGCATCACATGTTTTCAGGTGCGCTACTGCGGCCATCTGGAACGCTCTTCCTTATGATATCAGGAAGCTACTGGAGCTACGCACTTAAACTCGACTGAAAACTCATTTCTTTACAACTGCTTTTTGTGTCAAGTTTGTTGTCGTTTCCCCCCGCACCACCGATTAGCAAGGTTGGCTACGTACGGGTCCGAAATAAGTTCAACCTACGTACCTATAGGACGGTGTTTCTTTAGCGTTGGTTTACATGGGCATTGGCTCTGGTAAATTAAGCAGCGAGGCACTTCTTTTCGCGAGTATAAACCGATAATTCAATCAGCCATTGTCAGCTGCAGTGCTGGCAACCCTGCCATCCATGCCAGCCAACAACATTCGTGCGTTATGCTTTACCCTTATTCATTTACCCACTCGTGCCTGGCCTGCGTTTCGATGAAGGAGACTTGATTGATGTGAAACCTTGCGCTTGTGTTTGGGGTCATGAAGACCAATGTTAAGAACCGCTGTTGCGTGTCGGCGCAGTTGTTCTTATTACAGTACCTTCCCCATGATGACGTTAATTTTTGTTCTGTAAATCCGCTGGCAAACCAATATTGCTTTACGTTGTGCAGCTGCGTGGCGGACGCAAACGAAACAGGAGTATAACATTCACGCTTCGGCAACCTCTATTGGCACCACTTGGCAGGGGGGGGGGGGGTAGCTTCATAACCTGTGTCAGACCTCATTTTGTAACATTTCACAGCTTTAGCTATGCCACTGGTGCCAGGATGGGTGTGCTGCAATGCGACAGATCTTGATTTTGGTAATGTTGCAGTCCCCAGACAATGCGTACACCTGCCCCTCCATGTTTCCTGACCACCCCCCCCAACCCCACGCCCCCCGTCATTGAATCTGTTGCTTTCCCCAAGGTTACGTTCTGCTACGTGTGTAAGATCACTTTCCTCCAGCTGTGCTAATGCTCACAGGTCCGTAAAATTGACTTTACCCATACCTCATATTGTCATTATTATTATACACGCACACACACACTTGTAATAGCACATCATGTTTGATCGTCTTGGTTGATCGCTGGTATCGTGGAATGATGAGTGGCGTTACTGTCCACCGAAGTTATGCATTGCTAATTGGGTGTTTTTTACGTCGACCACTCTACACCAATTAACGTAGCACTGACAACAGGCACTAGATAACGAATTGGTAGCGATGCACATGATGATTTTAAAAATGTTTCCTTTATTTATTTCAGTAATTAGGACTTTCTATGGTATTTATCAAGTATGTGTATGTTATATTTGCCCATGTATTATCTGTGCAGTATCTGTATGCATGTCTAAACATTATGATCAGTGCCAACAATACGCAACGCATAAGTGGGTCGGTGTGGTTGGTGCTGGCTCTGTGCCATGCCAGCAATATCACGACTTGTGCTGCATAACAACCCTAACCCTAACCTGTCCTCTGTGTGTCATGCCAGCAATATCACTAAATGTCCTCCCTTACAACCCTAACAGTCCTCTGTGTGCCATGCCAGCAATATCACTTGTGCTGCATAACAACCCTAACCCTAACCTGTCCTCTGTGTGCCATGCCAGCAATATCACGATTCGTGCTCCCTAACAACTCTAACCCTAATAGATTAGGCACGTATCCTTAGCTCACAATCCATGGAAAGTGAACAGAATAAGTACAACGTTGTAGGGAGTCATAAAAATATGGATTTTTCCACCATTGGCTGTGGGCCTTAAGATATATGAGCAGTTCTCAATACTAATTTTAAACGTGGACACACTTCGATTTTTTTTGTAAAGATTTAAACTTCAAAATAAAAGGTGTATCCAAAATCACGTTCAATGAGCTATGCCATCTTTTGAAATGTCATTGTACGAACGCTTTGCCTTTTTAATGATAATAATTTTTATGTGCGTGGAATTTTTTAAAGAATAAATAAAGACAAATATTGAAATAATGCATCAATAACGGAAATGTATCAAATGCAAACAATATCGATTTCAACATAGTTATTCCAAGATTGCCTATCGGACATTGTACCAGTTCATTATTTCCAGAGCAGTCAGGGAGAGACACTGGTGGTAACACATCATATTTCATGGCAGCAAACGCCACCTGTTTCCTGCATGAAAAATCATTCCAAAGGGGACCTATTCATCACACCATTAACTTTCATTGTAACAGGTGTCACAGTGGTTGCTGCGGCTGGATAAGTAACAGATGAACCCTCATGCCTGGCAATGCCATATGCCGCTCTGCACAATTAATGCACAGACCTAGTCTGGAACATGTCGCCCATGGCTTAAGTGTGTTAAGTGCCATGCATGCTAAATACCGTCGATTGGTGGCAATGAGAGTCGTGGCAGTGGTCATCATCAGTTGCTTGCCCCTGACTGGAGTGCAACGCTCCCCATGAGGTGCTGCCAGGCGACCCCTGTCTCGAGCATGCCGCCGTGCTGAGCCACGGTGGCGAGATGTTAACTACTTCGCCTTGTTTACGGGCGGTCGTGGGTTCGCTCTTGACTCTGACACCTGTATATTTGGAGTTTGAATGTTTTCCCTGTGGTCGTGTGGAACATTGCGAGGGCTCCTTATTATCTTTGCAAGTATCTTCATGAGTAAACAAGGTGAACAGCAGATAGCTCCCAATCACAATGCATCTATTGTATTTGTACGTGTACATCTAAATATGAAATAAACAACACCGCAAAAAGAAAAACTTAAATACGGCAATAAAAAAGCAGAATTGTTAAGAAAATAATTGCTCGTTAAACACATACTGTTGGGTTGCCAGATGTAATTGGCAAGAGCGCTCCACATTTCGCCGTGTTGGCGAGGATGTTAACGACCTTGTCTGGTATGAAGGAGGTCGTGGGTTTGATCCTAACTCTGACACCTGCTGTATATTTGGAGTTTGCATGCCTCTCTCCCCGTGGTCGCGTGGATTTTTCTCTGGGCCCTCCGGCTTTTCCCTCCACATTCATAACCAACACGCGTTCAGAGCATTTGTCCGCTAGTATACATTTCCACGCGATAAGTCACTTCGTTGAGCTATCATTTGTGATCAGGTCGCTTCTGAAAAAAATGTCTATGTGCAGCTCAGTGGGCCTTACCCAGTAAAAATAAATTAATAATGGCGCGCGGCGTTTGACGTCAGCGTCAACGGTTTTCCGCGCGTGTCCACGTCAACCGCGCGGTCTTCCCCGAGGTCGGCTCCATTCCCTCAGTAGTGCTGCCACCGCCGCCGTTAATGATGGCGGCACAGGGCTCTGGTGCGATGGGCCAAGGAGGCGTCCACCCGGACAAACAAGTAGGCAAAGTCTCCTGACCACCGACCCCCGACCACTTTGTTCACCGCCGGAGTTGCTGTTCCGACGACGGACCTCGGGTGCTGTTGGTGAAGTTGCTCGCTGAATTGGATGCAGAGTAACCATCGCATCCAGTTTCGCTGTCAGGGTGCATGGCTGTGATTGAGAAACTTATGGGGTGAGGATGGTGGATGGAGATGCAGTTGGTTGTGCGGCCGTTTTCCACCCACTCTGGATTACAATCACACGAAAAATAATCGATGCATTGGCCAAAAAAACATCTGAACAAGAGTCTAGTATTATTCGACATAATATACCCTGTGGAGGCAAATTCATGATTCGTATCAGTATCATCATCGCCCATGGTTAATCCACTCCTTGATGAAGGCCTCCCCAAACCGATGATCTTACAATGCAATAGATATATATTTTACATGATTACTCAAGTATTTAAAACAGCAATAAATATCTGGAACTCGTGCTGTGTAATGTAACTTTTTCTTTTAATTAACAATTTGCAGAAGAGTTAGCGATTGGAACTTGGTATGTGGGTAGTAATTTTAGTTTTTGTTATATTATTCCAGCAAAAAAAGTGTTCTTCCTAAATACTGTAATATCTAAAATTGTCTGTGGTGGTACATCTGTTCTCGCCTGACAGGGTTTGATACCTACTTCCGCAGTCGCAAGCTGGAAAACAACCGTAGGAATGTGTGGTTCGCGGAATTCTGGGAGGAGAACTTCCAGTGCAAACTGGGGAAGCTAAACACCAAACAAGAACTCAGCAGCAGAAAGTGCACAGGTAAGGGTGGCGTACTGTGAGATGGTAATTACAATTTAGTATGCTTCACAGACCGTCGCATTGCTGTTGAAATTTGGGGACTTGGGAAAGATGGCATTGTGGCTCACCCTGTGTAACTTCCGTTCAGGTGCAATAACGACTTGACACACTTCTCTTGAGATGGCACATTATTGAAGACACGTTCACTTGATATCAGGCAGAGACCCCCACTGAAACTGCCTCGAGTCTCCCGCGCATCTCCCCCTTATATACCGACAAGAGGCCACGCCCCCCCTTCTCGATCATTCCCGTAGCCACCAGTCCCTTCGCACTCACAACTGATGCCCCTGGCATTACCTCCCGTGGCCACTAGTGCACTCGCACTGCAGGCTGACTCCCCTGTCATTACCTCCCCTGGCCACTAGTGCCCTCACACTCCATTCAGGCTCTATTGTCATTACACAGGTATGAATGTCTGTCTCGCTGTTGTTGTTCACTGATAAGCATTTAATTGCAAGGGCTATCAATGAATGTCTGCAGAGTTGGGGATTTTCGTGAACACAGGTTTTTCGAGTGGATCATGAGCAGGGTAAATTAATATTTTCTCTGAAGGCAAGGAGTTCTTGTGTTTCAATCTCCGTACATGTCCCAAGTATTTAAATATGTATGTAATGTTAATTGGCTTGAGCTTGGTTATGATTAATTTTGAATCCTCCTGTTCATCCATTTAAAAAAAGTGCCAAAGTGGTCACCATGATACACGTTTAATTTTGTGAGTTGTAAAACATATGTTAAGGTCCCAAATGTCTCGCTAACTTTTATTTTTGTAGTGTTGAGTGTTGAAATACCTTTGAAGCTGGGATAACCTTTCTTTTCTCGCCTTTGCTAATGTTTTTTGTCATTCCCTGATAACATTGCACGTCGTTAAGCTTTGTGTAATCCTATCGCAGGAACAGAAAGTACTGGCCTGGGCGCTTGACTCTTGGCTTCTATGTGATTGCAGTGCGTGCTGGAATATCACAGTGTAGTTCAAGTCTTACAAAAGTCAGGATGAGCTCCATGCCGCACAGAAACACTTTTTCATTCCGTCTTATCTGGGTCGGCCGTGTTGTGTAATGGTGCGGTGATTTCCTCTGGGCACTTCTTTCTGCAGCAAGAAGTCTGCGTGGGTTGTGGGTCCAGAGATTGTGAAGCCAAATAGGAGGTGCATAATGATGAGTGGTTTGGTGGCAGCTGAGCAGGGAAAGAAGAAAAACAAGCTTTCTTTCAAGACATCTTTTTTTTTCTTTTAAAACCAGGGAGCCGTGGTTACTGTCAACTTGAATTGGATGCTCACCCTATCCCCGTCCCTTACAATGGGGACAAACGTCATTGGAATGGGCCTCAGGGTCAGTAACTTGGATACAAAAATGGAGCGTTGACCAGCTTTGTAATGCAATATAGACCTATATCAAGCTGGGTGGGTGCTGTGCTTACATCGCTTGGCTCACAATCATACAAATTGCAAGTTCACATCCCAGTTGGTGGCCGACTCAGCTGATTACCTCTCCACGGTCAATAAAATAAGTACCGGTCTGTAAAAATTTCAACAGTGGTAGTCCTGAAAAAAAAACTGTTGCTAATGCTCTATGAATACAGTGAAAAACAATGCATTAGGTCTGTCTGTATCGAGGGCACAATCACTCTCCGAAAGATGAACCAATGTGGACACAACGTGAATATGAGGCTGTGTTGTGGCCACATTGAACAAAACATCTCCTGCATCCTCCATGGCAGAGTCACTATCTGAGCCCCATCGCAGCGCCGATATCCGTGCTATCAGAGCCGCTATCCGATCCCCATAGCAGAGCTTCTATCCAAGCCCCAATGCCTCACTGCGGCTTACAGACAAACTGCTCCGTGTGCACATGGTGTGAGCGCTACCACTGTTATCGCGAATCACGCGCTTTCCAAGGACAAGGGCATTGTTGGAATCATGTATATTCCATTTTATTATTTGCATTTGTTGTTTTCACAATGATGGTTCAGGGCTGCCAACAGAGATGAGCAAAGCTCATGTTCTCTGGAACAATACAGCACGAGACTCTTTGGTTCTTTCGGGAAAAGTCACGTAGGTTGAAAAAATATATATCACGACGTTTCGATCGCAACACAAGCGGTCGTCCTCAAGCGGAAAAAAATAATCCAGCAGTGGAACTGCTGAACCAGGAAGAACACAGCGAGAGAGCCGTTACAACAAGAGGTTATAGATGTGGCGAAGGGCAAGCAAGCGGGGTCTGAGCTGGAAAGGAATTCCATCCCCGAACGCAAGCACGTCAGTTGTGTTAATGGGGGAGATTAGGGAGAGAGATTAGCATGAAATGAGCTTCCGTCGCCGCTTAAGAGTATCATCCCCGCATATGCGCACAGCAGAAGTGTTAATGGGAGATGAGCACTATGTTGATGGGAGAGATTAGGCAGAGAGATTAGAGGGATTGGCAAGTTGATGTCATGTCTATGTGTAACACAAGCTGCGGCGCTGACAACTGCGCTGTGAGAGGCAAGCACGTCCACACACAACGGCGGTCGCGCCAGTGAGACACACAGACCATCAGCCAGAACCATCGATGTATCGAGGCTAAGGGAGCAGAGGTGGCCATGTTAGTGAGACCCCAGCCCGTTAATGCAGAGGAATCCAAGAGGGCAATGCAACTCAGAGAGTCGGAGATAATAATACCGCACTCTTCCCTAAACACATTCTCAACTTTCTTAAATCTTACTGGCATAGTTCAGCTCTCCCCCATTAATTGCAAAACGCTTATATTTCCTGCCACAAACTTTGGAAGTTAAAAGTATATTTTGTTGATATCATTGGCACAGGTTGAAGGACTGTCTGATACGGCCGTGAAGCGGCAATGCAACTGGTCAACCGAGAGACCCAGGGCAGTGTGCCAACTGTCCTAACATATCACCCATCCAGCCTAGCTATAAAAACAATAATCATGAATAATTTTCACAACCTAAGGAGTGATACAAATTATACTGCCAACATGTTTCAAGGAATCACCTCTTTGTGAATTCCACAGAAACACAAACCTCGGGGATCTGCAAGTAGGTACACAGCTCTGTGTGACGCACCAGGAAGGCACCTTACATAGGCACCTCCCCATGCCAATGGATGACATGCATCTCGTGTATCTTCACATCAATTGATCATTTGTGACACACGTATGTATGTATGTATGTAGAACTTATTTCACACCGTACGTACCCAACCGTGCTGATCGGAGGTGTGGGGGAAGGACAACGCACTAAACACAAAAAGCAGGTTTAAAGAAATTAGTTTTCAATCTAGATTTAAAAGTGCATGGCTTCAGTGGCTTCCAAATATCGGAAGGAAGGGCGTTCCAGATGGCCGCAAAAGCGCATCTGAAAGCGTGCTATGCGGTGACCGTCGATACATGCACTGCCACCACTCTGACTTATTGCATAACACGCCAACGCTGTGTACTTCACTGCATCGGGGAAACTGGTAAATGCCTCGGCGATAGATGTGCCCAACATCTTCTGTCAGCTCGCTTTGCAGACATCATGTCCACACCAGTGGCTCGCCACAGCAGGGACCATATCCGCAGTGACGTGTCAGTGCGTGAGAGAAGGCTGCCTGATATCCAAACGAAATGCCGTTCACCTGGTAGGACGCAATGCCTCATCTTCAATTAAGACATTCCTTTATTATTGAGCGCTAGACAAAGCTTATACCCCTTGCAGGATCATATCACGTGTAACCTCTTATTCGAACACACATTTGTTTACAAAACATTTCTCAATAAGGTTGGTCAGCAAGGACTTAAAAGACAAAGATAACAAAAAAAATGTATATGCTTAGTTTTTTCGGTAAAGTCACGTTGAAGGGAAACAACAAAATAATAAAATATATATAAAACAATACAAATTCTCACGACGTTTCGACCATAACTCAAACGGTCGTCTTCAGGTGTGATGGTTTGCATAAATGTATTTTTAAACGGCGCATTTATTTATTTATAAAAACGTTAGCGCCACGCGCAACGATTTGCCAGTTTATTTAGGACTAGTCCATCTATTTAGTGAACACAAAGCAGACCTTAAACACGGTAGGACCAACACCTCGGCCGTGGCAGATCATTGTTCTAATTCAGTAGGCTCACATGCCATTGATTTTTCCAAGACAGAGGTTCTTTGTAAGCCATATGGCTACCATGAGAGATTCGTTCATGAGGCTATCCACATATACAAGCACAGAGACAATTTCAACCGAGAAGATGGACTCTATCTTAGCAATCATTGGAAAGATTTGATAAACCATTTCAGGTCTTAATTGATTGTTCACGCTTACAGTGGCTTTCAGACAGCATACATTATAAAAAATTTCGTCTCCCCCCTCCTCTTTTCAGAATATAGATGGACTAGTCCTAAATAAACTGCCAAATCGTTGCGCGTGGCGCTAACGTTTTTATAAATAAATAAATGCGCCGTTTAAAAATAAATGTATGCAAACCAACACACCTGAAGACGACCGTTTGAGTTATGGTCGAAACGTCGTGAGAATTTTTTATTGTTATATATATATTTTATTATTTTGTTGTTTCCCCTCAACGTGACTTTACCGAAACAAAACTAAGAACATGAATTACTGCAGTCACGAAAGCTTTAAATAAAAAAAAAGTATTATCTCCCCAAAAAAATCCTCTACTTACTCTTACAATGTTCAGGAATTTCAAACAGTTGCAATTGTCCTTTGGTCCTTGCATTTCTTGAGAGCTGCTCGAATCCTATTGAAATTATAATTGTGTGCAAAGAACGTATCACTAAGGGAATTATGCATTCACATCACCGCAATAGTTCTACCCATAATGCAATGTGCCAGCAACATTTTATAAGTTTAACACTTAAGCTTTCGCGACCAATATGATCCATTGTAAATGTTGTGGCTTTACTCTCCAACACACCGGTGTGCTGTACTAGTAACGAATTGGCGTGCTCTTTTAACGTGACAAACC